GTTACAGTTTTTAAGTCATCTTTTTCCACTCTGCTGTTATTAAGGTTACCCCTGTCAAACAAGAGAACATGTCTTCATGCTTCCCTGCATCCAGTCCCACATGGAGTCACACCTCTCTGAGGGCCATCCACGCTATTCCATTCTGACACCAATATTGCATCTCATAACCGTGAGATCCAATCACCTTCTGCGGGAATGAAAAGAGAGCCAAGTATAATCAGTCGTGGTCAGACAGAGATGGGCAGCAGAAAGGCAAGGTGCTGGCAGGGGCCCAAGGGCTGTATCTGGCTGCACATTTTGGTGTATGTGCTTATGTGTGTGTATGCTTGTTTGACAGCTTAATAAACCAGCCATTGTCCTACAGAAAGAGTACCAACCTGGGATTTATCTGTGTGCTTTCTGTTCTTTAAGTTTTATGCTTAAAGCTGCAATAAGCAACTTTTCATGCTTAAACCTAAAAATCACTTGGCAGGTACTTGTGAATATAGCTTTCTTCTTTATTTATGTTTTCCTAACAGCAGTTTGGAGTTCAGAGTCAGACAACTTCACAGTTCAGATGTTTTAGTGAAAAAGCTTTAAAAACCTGCAATACGAATACACACAGAAAGCCAGTGTCAGCAAGTAGCTGAGCAACACTGGCATTAGCCTTGGCATTTTTGTCAAGAGTTAGAGGACATAAAACGGAGGTAAATCACAGATGAATACTGGACTTAAATTGACCATTAATATGAAATCACTATGAATTAAGCTTGGACTATTACTCTGCTCGAGAGACCACAGCTACAGATTTTCTGGGGAATTTATTAGCTACAGGTTTTACGCATAATAGTTGTTAATCAATATTTATGTAATTCATTTGTTTCAGTTGTTGGTTTAAAATGTTACAGAGTTAAGGATCACTTGGTCCACAGGCAGGTTTAACGTTTCTAGTAAGGGTGTTTTATTTCAAGTTTCTTGCTAGCCAAAATTAGCATACCATTCAATGTTACAATCATTTAAAGATGCAGCATGCTAACAAAGCTAGCTAGGCAAGGTTTTATTGTAACATCTGGCTTAAAAAAAAAGAGTTGTGAAGACATATTAGCTACATCAATCTTCTTAAATCAGATATAAAAGAAGGTGATATTTAATGTAGGCTTTATGATTATTCAAGAAACAATAATCAGTGCTGCCAGTATGGTGTGCCAGTGGTTAGTGCTGTTGCCTTGCAGCTTCTATTTTCAAACTATCAGCTGACTGAGTTTGCATGTTGTCCCATTTTCTTGCACTTGTTCTCTTCATGTACCCTGACTTTCTCTTACAGTGCAAAGACCTGTACGTTAGGTTAATTGGTGATTATAAATCGGCAATAGGTGTAAACGTAAGCATGCATCCCCTCCCCCGTGACCCTAAATTCTGTAAGAACATGGATAGATTGGCAATAATCAATATTCATTTTAGATTGATTTAACTTACATTTTTATTCTTATAGCTTTACATGCTTCTTTGAGCCAGAAATCATAACTAAACTTATTTTTGGCAACGTGTCAATGAAACTGAATGAGACAATGAGGTTGTTGCAATTCATCAAAACATTTTTAATGTTGAGACTATACCTGAGGGATTACTTACACTGTGTTAACTACTTTAAAGTGCCTATTAAAATTGAAAGCTGTGCCGCTCACTACTAAATTTGAACTATTGCATTCAAAACACACAGCATATTCATTTATTTATGGATGCCACCAGTAAGGAACTAAGAAACGACTTAAATATATATTCAATAAGTTCTTAAAAAAACTCATCTAGAGGGAAGGTGATCACAGCATTTTAACAGATTAATTAGCTCACAGAAGTTTTAGCTTCTAAGCAACATGAGAAAATCCACTTATAATCAAAGATTCGCAGCTTCAGAGTAGTCCCAGAGAAACTGCTGGAGCTTAGAGTATCAATGAGGGACTTTTTCTTTTTCCTTTTTTCATTTGGAGTGTATAAAACATGTAAATGTTCACCCGAAAACATGGTAACATGGAAATATTCTCTAATGAAAGCTTCAGCAGGAGGCTTCATTAGTTGAAGGTCTCCAGAAAGTGAAAAACAACATGGATATTCTGCGATACTGTGCAGGCTTCACAGCTAAATGTGCTGATGAATTTTGATGCACCCAACATATTTTCCTCCAAAGACATCACATCAATAATGCCAACACAGTGTGAAGTTATTTCCTTTTTGTGATATGCATTCGTTTTTTCTGGAGCGTTCCATTTTCTTCCGGTGGTTAGGTTTATTGAATGTTTACAGTGAACCTTACAGGTCACAGCGGAGTTTGTTTTGTTGAGCATCCCTCTTATTTCTGTGTCTGACCGAGTGTGAAAAATAAGTGACAGAAATCTCTGCATTGCAGTGGCTCTCAGCAGTTCATGAATTAGAACTACATTCATAAAATTGTAGCATGTGTGTATGTGTTGCTCTTGAAGCAGAGGATGAGGCCTGTATTACTGGATGGCCCATATTTTCCTGTTTTCTTGCAAGAGTGCTTTGCATGAAGTAGCTGAGCCTCGGCAGGGCAGTGGCTAATGAGCCAGCGATGAAGATGTAGCGAGGGCTGCCGCTGCACTTTCCCAGGATAAAATGCCCCACAAGTCACCATACTATCTCACATCTTATGGTTCAAGCTACTTTATCCATTTCCTCCGAATTTTTAAATGGTTTCTTTTTATTTTGAGTGCTGTTACTTTTATTATAACAAGTGGCAAAACTTGCAAACATGCATCTAGGTGCTAAAATCAGGTGTATATATCCTTCAACACTCATTTTCTTTATATATATATGAAAAGTGAAATTCAGGAGAAATAACACACACCGTTTTACAACACACTCTGGGGTTTTAATGCTTCACATAACAGACAACTTGGAAAAGAACCAATTTTAAATTGTATCTTTAGGCACTTTGTTACCAGCAAGCCTGTCGCAAAAACACATAATTTGTTCTCATTTCTCAGGTTGAATCTACAAAAAAATGCCTTGACGGGCTAAAAAACAACAATTTTGCACCAACACGCTATTTCCAAAGAGCTATTAGCTGAAAACTTGGCATATCTCGGCATGGAGTGAAATTCTCATTAAACAATTTGCGGAAACTGGACTAGTGGAGTACCAAAAAAGTGGCACACCTAAAATACTATTTACAGCAGATAAACAGTATAAACTGGATCTCATGTCCTTAGAAATTGGGAACAAAAAGAAGCAAAGACTTGAGAGATACATCTGACCCTTTGATTGATCCACCTACTTACTCATCAGAAATGGTCTCAGTGGAAAGGTGACTGTCAAGAACTGGACTGAAAATCAGTGGTAACGGGTCTTTGGAGTTATGAATTCAATTTTTTAGTTCACCTTTTTGCAAATATATACAGATCAGGTCAGGAGAGCGAGTGTACAACAGTCAGTGTCTATAGCCATCATAGTAGATGCTCTTTTATGGTTTGGGGCTGCAGTTCAGCCAGTGGTGTTAGGAGATCTTGCCAAAACTGATTAAATCATGAATACAGAAAGGTATCATCGGGTATGGTATTACATATAATACTGTATTACTGTGACATAATACCATCTGGAAAGCATTTAATCGACAACAGCTTCATTTTTCAGACTAGCAATGACAATATCAGCGCAGTAAACGCGTACTGATAATGGAACACGATTAGTCATGGACTGGTCTCCCCAGGGCCTGGACGTCAACATTACTAAAGAAATATGAGATCATCTGTACGGAGAACTGAACAAAAGGCAGCCAACATTAAAAGAAGAGCTCTGAATGTCCTTCAAGAAGCCTGGAGCACTATTCCTGAAAACTACTTAAAGAAACTACAAGTAAACTAAAAGAGTGCAGATTGTGCTGAAGCTCATCAGAGTTGTATAAACTCTGTTTGTGCCTTATATACTGTTTGTTTTATATTTGCACTTCAATAAACCCATTTAGCACTTCTCTGGCAAAATATGAAACAAAATGAAGGGTGTCTCAACATTTAAGTATAGTAAAGTAAGTATAACAATAACTGCTACCTGCCATCTCTCCATACATGTTCTCTGCCCCTGTTTACTAATAATTACAAATATGTCCTGAAAGTTTATTTAAAGGTTTTTTTTCAATAATTTATAAGGAGCAAACTTAGCAAATCACCACCAAAAGACACATTTGATGCTCTTGATCCTCATCAATTAGCTTTCAGTCAAATTTTCTTTAAAGAGAGACAAAGCTTTGGAAAAGCGAATGTTTCATGTGAGCAAAGTAGCCACTGTTTTGTGAAAATTACAAAAATAAGTGCATCCGATTTCGTGACAGAATCATTGTGCTTTACATAACACAGACTTTGAAAACTAAATTTAGATTTTAAAAGTACATTCATCAAGGAAAAACAAAAAAATGAGAAAGCAAAAAACAACAACACAATAAATAAATAAAAACTCACTTGAGGGTAAGGCTTCATTAGCCACTACAGCATAACACACATGAACACCAAATTCAGGTTTTGACAGGGAAGAAGAATGCATTAACTAAAAAAAGACAACACATCTCTGATTTTACATCATTAATTCTGATTAGGTTTTTAAATTGTCAGTCTTGACTCTGACAGCGTTGTAGGAGTTCAAAGCCACATGAGTGAAGTATTATTGTTGGTACAGAATTATTCATGGATAAATAAATAAAAACTGCAGTTGAATATAAAAATACATTTGGTTATCAGGTTTGTGTGGTTGTTGTTTGCTCACATTTGACTGACAGTGGCTGAGCTGTGTAGGCAAACAGCTCACCAACTCTTCCCTCACTTTTGATATAAATGCATTTAAAAACATGATGCATAGTGCATGACATTGCCTAGAGAAATATGAAAACAGTTTCAACTTTGACAGATTATTTTATACATTAAGAGAAAAAGCTTCATTAAATGATGTACAGTAGCAATATCTGTAAAACAAATGCAAACCAGCAGGATGAATTCACGGATTTTGTCTGTTCCTACCTGTCTTTGGCTCCACTGAGAAATACGGATGTCCATGTTCGATGCTGTAAACCACCCTGGCACTGTTCCCGTATGTTGGGTCATCTGCGTCTGTGGCTACCACTTGCACTACCATGGTTCCTGTGAGCAGACAGCCCTTCATTAGTTTCCAAGACGACATCAAGAAGCCAAGACAAACAGAGCTAAATGTGGAAACAGTCATCATATCAACAGCCCTGTGACCAACTCAGTTTGAAGGGAGTTGTGGGGGGTTGGTGGTAATGGTGGTGAGAGGGTCCTGATCTGACTGGCTCTTGCAAAACAACTGACACTCTTAATTATTTCCATAATTTGCAGGGATGCTGCAGCAAGATTAAAGTGTAACTCCAAGCCTGTAGAGATCATTTCAGTGCCATTTTTTTTTCTCAGTGTGCCTGGTGCAGATCAGTTAGCAGCATCTTTCCTGGTAACTTCAATCTGTTCTAATTCATCAGCCAAATGGGGTCTGCAACCCATCTGTGCATGTTAAAGAGGCACTTCACCCCATCAAAAAAGACAAAGCTAAATTACTATTCACATCATCCCACAGCAATCCAAAAACTGCAACTTTATTTTTTTTGCTTTAGAAAGGAGTTTAAAGTCGTCCTGCAGCAATGTCATTGGAAGGCACTGTACCTCTCTGTGGTACTAATTAGGATTCAATGACACCGAGTACATTAAAGAATTTTACAACAATTTCTGGAGGATTTATGTCAAATTCCTATGCTCCATTCAAGACCGGTTGTGGACATAATGGACATGAAGTTGTTCTTAATATACTACTTTGCAGTCTGCCTAGAGGACACATGCGAGAGGTGACCTTGTTGCATGGTGGCTATCGCTATGTCAGCGCAGAAATTTCATGCCTGAGATTTAAAGCTCTGACATACAGTGAAATACAGAGAGATTAACCTGTAGCTGACAGGCTCAATCAGCATTATGTGAACCTGTTTGGCTAAGACTCGAATGTTGAGTAACAGATGCTTGTTTATCTGTAAATCCCCAGGTTTGAGCAAAGCAATTGCCAAAAGTTATACAAAAAATAAGTTACACTTCTCATTTGAAATTTGACTGACTTTGTACATCTGTGCTTAGGCCTACATGCTGCAGCATGCATATGCAATTTGTGATTATACTCCTGCACAATAACCCCACAATTTATTCACAGTCATGTGCAATATTTACGAGTTTTCTTGTTATTTTTTTATTGTTGTGAATCCTATTGCATTCACTTTGTGTAAAAACTGTAGCTAAAGTTTGATATGGGTAGAGAATCTTAACTCGGCGTGTTATAAAAGTTGCATTTTCTGACTGTGATTCTAAAAAAAAACAACAAAAAACCTTACATTATCCAGTGGAGTTTTGCAGATAAAGTTATAAACACCCAGACATAAAGCCTCACTTTGTAACAGAGCCCAGAATTCGCCCTCCTCAAATCCCCAAACTTCCGTTCATCCTACAAGAAGGACATTTGTTTTCAAACTCAACTGTGAACTCTGCTGACAACTGACAACTGTTGTTTCTGCGTGCAGTACAGTATTGTCCTCTCCCACACTTCCTCTAAGGCAAACGAGAAGACATCACACACGACTCCTTGTGCACTTTTCTTTAAATGTGCCCACTGAACGAGGTTGATGTGACTTGAGCTGACAGCCGTGGCTCGGGAGGTAAAGCAGAAAAGCGTCTGAAGATTTCACAGAGAAAACATAATCAGCGACAATCAGTGCCAATCAATTTCAATAGGTCATTCATTATGGTATAAATGAACCCTGTTGTTCCAACTGGGCTCATTAAATGGGTGCAGGTTTGTTTTTGTTTTTTCAGGCAAAGTCATTTTATGCTGAAAAATTGATATCCATTTGATAATGGAGAGGAAAAGGCATTTAATAAATTGTGAAATGACCAAAAACAACCTTTACGGTTCAGGCTATTTTTCGCTGTTAGACTATACGTCAGTGTTGGTCTTAAAGCTGACGCCTACAGCAGTCTCACACTTGGCAGTGGTGAAATCATCAAGAATAGAAATTGTTAAAATAACCTTGAAAAAACACCGTTCTCCACAAGTGTAGCTTTTTTTCAGTTTGTCACATGAATAGCTGGTTGATGCTTGAATATTTCACTTTAATGGCTAGCTGAACATATCTGGCAAAGCCTGTATTGTAGCAAACAGAAAGTGCTGTCTTACAAGTTGGTGATATTTTACTTTGAAGCAAACATCCTAATAAAAATCTCACTTTCTAACATGAGATGTATTTTACAGGCTTTTACAGAATGAAGTGATCACGGAAATTGAAGATTAGAGTCCCCCATTCTGGCCATAAAGCTGAATTAACAGGCTCTGGCCCTGGATGTGAACAATATAACAGTAAAAAAAAAAAAAAAAGCTTGGTGAAGCTGGAGAAGTTATCACCAGGCTGGTTGTAGAAGGACACCTAGATTATATCATCACCTCTTAGTCATGACAGGTTATATTACAGGTAGTTTAAAACACCAAGGTCAAAGGATGACTGTATGAAAGAGAACTCAGGCAACGTCTGAATCTTTATTACAGGATGATAGTTAAGAACACTTCACAGAGGGTGTGGTGGACGCCGCCGTAAATTAACTTTCAATATGGACTCGCATGGAGCGCTTTTAAAGTTTCCTCTTTTTTTTTCAGATGTTTTCCACAGCTTGTTTGCCCTGCGAGTCCACCAAACATCCTGTTCTAACAATATTGTCAGCATGAAAGGTAATATCATCTGGGTGAGCTGGATGTCAGAGAGAAAGAGAAAAAAAACTGATGAACACCCCAAAAATTTTAACAGATTCTTTCAGCTCCACCAGGCTGTCGTCTGCTACTCAATTTCCCCTGTCAGTGTCCTTTCAATATTTGTCCAACTTCATCGACGTGATGGATCAGATCTTCACCCTTGTTATTTATCCCCTGCAGCTGTGTACAAAACAAGTTTCCTAATCAATTCCGTATTCTCGGTGAGCAACTGTCATCTGCCAGTAATGAAAATAAATGCGGCGTGCTTAATCTGGAGCGGAGACCAATATTCTTCAGACACTTGCGTGTACAGGTTGCAAGCAACTGTCAAGTGCAATATCCACTTTCCGACTGCAAGCACACAATGCAAAGGTTTGACAGTGACCCAAAACGTGTGTTGGAACTTTTGCATTAGTACAAATGAAGGACCGTCTTAGGAATATAAATATACTTTTATTTAAAGCGAAAAGGTGAAAAAAACCCATCAGAAACAATTCTGCGATGTGGAAGTACATACAGGATATTAGAAGAATCAATATTAAAATGTTTCATTAAAGCCCAGTCGTTCTGCAATGCCTCCATGAGTACTCAAAGCTGCCGCAGTTGATTAAGTTGATTGTATTCATGCACATTCACACCTGCTCCCCACTGTTTCAGATGAGCAGGGATTATTGATTAGAGTTGGGTTCACATTTATTCCTAACTACAAAAGCAAAAATGAGTTACAAGACTTTAAAAGAAAGTTACCGAGTGCCTGCTGATTTCTATGCATGTTTTAACATTGTTAGGAAGCAAATACATTCCCTACATTCCCTCTACAGCTGTACTACAATAATATCCACCATATTTTCATTGTGTCCAGTTTTCATCACTGTTTTATTATATTTTACGAGACTGTGTTATATTCAGAGGTGTTTCTAATATTTCGCCTGCCTAATATGTGTTGCTGGAGAGAACAAAAAAAATAATGTGATACACTTCTTGGTTAAATAATTATCATAGTGTCAAATTTACACATTGTCACTGTCAAGTAAAAGTGAACATTAAGAGCTTTGTAAAAACAGTTATGACAGATATGCTGCATTGTAGTTAACAAAGATTAAGCGTGTGTACTTCAGTGAATATTTTTACCACGCAATTAAGCACTTCCACTTCCAGTGACAAAAAGAAGAAAGAAAAAAATCAACTTTCCCTAAACCGCAGCACCTTTTTCATTTCAAGAATTAAAATGACTATTCCATCCATGATCTCTGCTCTCGTGAATTCGGCAGGAACTGTGACAGCTGGATATAGGACTGGTGAGTAGTAAATTCAAGAGCTGTGGCCTTGGGGTGACATTACATTCTCTATGCTTGTAATGAGCCCTCAAACGGCTCCTTTGGCCTTTCGCTGTGCAGCGGGAGAGAGCCAGGCCTCACGATTGTCACACCTCCAACTGTCCTCAAGCTCTCTTGTCTTTTATTTGACATCCCAGCCATGATTAAGACAAAAGCCCTGAGAGATCCTCAGGCCACAGGGTCACACTGTGCATGGACGAGCACTGCTTCTAATTACTTTAATTAATTAAATTCATGATTTCCTCTAAATTGAACCCATTCATCAAGGGTGCAAAGCTGTGACCATTAATGATTTAAAGACATCTATAAAGGAATTATTGAAGACAGGAGGTGCTTCGCCCTCTCCCGTTCTTTACTGCATTGATAATTGCTTTGAGCAGATATTTACAAAAGGGAGGCAAAGCATTATTCTCCTGTTGTTCTCGCAACTCGTGATGAAGACCTTTACAGGAACTGGCAGAGTAAATAAAGTGCTCGGGTGGAACGTGCAGTTCACCGATTCTGGTGTGAATACATCCTTCTAGTAAGTTGCTGTTATCACCGGTTGGGCACGAGACTCAAAGCCCTCGTACTCTAATCCTCTGGTTCCTTAAGCCTGTGCTCTGTACCCCCCATTGACAGTCAGCTGTGTAATCCTTCGGAGATCTCTGTGCCTGTGCTGTAAGCAAAGCAGAGCCTCCCTTGGAACGGCTCCCGGTGCCACTGTATGCCTTCTGAAATTTCCATTTTGACTTTGAACACTCTGGAAATAGCCTTTGTTTTTTTTTTTTCTAATTTACATTTGCATGGCAACAAGCACTTTTGAAGCACTGAGGTGATCCTAACCAGCAATGAGTTTGCTCAGCTGTCTATGTACTGCTCGAGGTAAAAACTATAAAAATCTCCATCCACATATCAATCACATACAGCAAAGCATACGGGAAAGGGTTCTCGAACCAAGTGATCAATCCACAAAGTGCTATCACCAGAGCTCCCCACAGCTCCATGTTCCTGTTTAGCTTCTTTCAGCTCATTATTTTGCTTATCTGGCCCACAAGCTCACTGCTGTGCTTCATTCTCAGAGTTTTCATTGCATAATTTGTACACTGTGAACTTCCAAAAAGAGAAAAAAAGAAAAGAAAACACTCTAAAAACTACTGTGCACAAATGCTAGTACAAGCTGATAACAGACATAAAGCAGTATAGCAGTGTATAAGTATCCAATCATATCAGTGTAAAAAGTGCCCCTGAGTGGCCAAAAGCACAATTCATTGCAGATTTAATGAACCATCTAACCCCATGTTTTAACTGAAACATGTCCACTACATATTAAAAAACAATGCATTCAAACCCAGAGCTTTCTCGCCCACCTGCCTGCAGTTACAGCTTGCACAATAACACTCCTACTTACAGCCTTGACAGCGTTTCAGTGATGCTACCCAGTGTGTGATGCTCACTCTTTTTAATTACGTACAGAATTTCCTCAATTTTCTCTGGGAAAAAAAGGTCACAAACCGCCACTCCATATTACCCTTTTGGTAGCAATGACACTAAAATGGGTTTATGGTGTTTTATTACAAATTTTGCATTTAATTTACTGACTGAAAAAAGTTGATAGTCTTTGGCCAACACATTCTCAAGCAGGTTGTGTAGATTGTGTAATTAATTTGACATAAAATGACTTTTTACACTTTAGGCATAAAATCATGTCAAACTTTGTGTTTGTAATTTTTAATCAACTGAAAAGCTCAGGTCACCGTTTTCAGTCTTCTGACGGCCAGGTTCATTTCAGTCTCCATCCCAGCACTCACAGCTCACTTGTGATTAGACCACAGCTCCCAGCATGCCTTGGAGTGCCTTGGGAACCCCTAGGTGAAGCTGGAGGAAGTTAAGGGTGACTGTGCTGCTAAGCATGCCGTGTTGCCACAGTGAATTGCAAAAGTAATGGCTGGGCAGAAATGTATTCATCAGGATCAGATGTTTTTCAGAGAAATGTTCAGCAGGAAGGTACTGGGAGGTACTGGCTGCAATGAACTCTGAGTCCAATTTGTGGAAAAAATGCCTATGGCCTTCAAGCCTGATTCAGACCTTAAGTTTGCCCGAGTTAGCTTTCAAACATGAGTCACTCATCAGCATTTCTAAGCCTAGAGGTCTGCTTTGGCATATGTGAATATGTGAATATCTGAAATAAAACAAGCTCTAAAAATATTCTAAATCCTAAATATCCCAAATATTAATTTTATTTATTGTTTTTTATTTTATTATTTTTTTTAAATTTTAGGTCAGTATAAACCAGACATGCTCTAGACATTAGATATATGGAGGTCACTTTTTCTTACTGCATTCCTAACACACCTGCTAAGATGAATGGCCTCAGGATGTTGTTGCCACTCATTTGCATTTACTTCCATTTTGAACCTGAGCAGGACCTGTCTGAAACCTTGAAGGAAATCTTGACCACACAGCTTACAGACAGGGGCTGATATGATAGCGCCCTCAAGGAGTGTTTTTTAAACAGATAAAAGGAATACCTGTTGCAATAAATGCTAATGTGATCAATAGAATATCAATTGCTGAGTCCTTAGGAGAGGTATTATTGTGCAGTATAATGTTTTTACCTGTGCTTGCTTTAGATATACCAATGCTGGTCTGTTAATCTGCAGACTACTGTAGTTGGTCAGCTGTTCTGTAGAAGCACACTTTTTTTCAGATATCCTGTGGGGGTTACAGGAATTCTGGGGTATTCCCATGGGATTCAAGGGAGTCAATTCTCAATTACTATTCGACTTGTAAATGTACAGGACTGGAAAAAAGTCAGCACTCAAGAAGAAAAAGGTAATGGATCGGGAGTGGAGAGGGGGCTTGATAGTATGTGCAGCCTTTTTCTAGCTTTTAAAATCTTGTGCTTCTAGCATCACTAGTTATTAGTTGTATTTCAATAAAACCTGATCAGGACATTCCTAAATCCCAGAAGGATTGGTGATATCAGCAGTGGTTACTCTCTGATGCGTCACAAATCAGCAAAAATTGTCTTAATGTGCGACACAGATTAGTACAGAGATCCTTGGTTCCCAGAAGATTTATGCTGATGGATTGATGAGTTTTTTCATTTTTGGTTTTAATCAAAATGTTTTCACTGATTAATTAACATGATATCATGACTGTCAGGTTCTACATATAACCGTTTGTGATTAGTTGACTTTTTCTCTTGTGCAATCATCAAGTTAAAATTTTGTTTATGCTAAAACCTGCTGGTATTAGCGCTACATGATACCTATGGAATATATAAAAATAAAGGCAAGCTTTACTGAGTGGCCTAGGAGAAATGGTTTTAGTTTCTTAGTCTTTGTGCATCATCCTGCTTTTTGAAGCTTTAAAAAATGAACAGCGAGGCATGCATGACCTTATTCGTCAGGATCACAGCAGAAAAGGAGAAAGAAGCCAACAGACCAGTGCGCTGTGGCCAAGGTATTCCCAAATCAAGGTAATTTAACCTGGATCTCATTTGATGTGGAGCCCATGAACAAGAAGGGCTTCATACTGGTTAAATTATATTCAGTATGATTAGTATGTAGTCAGTCTTACAAACTGAACATGCTGGACTCAAATTAATATTGCACACGTTCCAAATCCCCCCCTCCACCCACCCCTCACGACCTAAACACTGGGAGAGATGAAGACGAATTCAGTGAGGTGGAAAATTATCAAAGGCAGATGTTGGAGCAAGGACAAGTCAAAGAGAAAGCAAGAGTAAGAGAGAGAGACTTGAAGAGTGCGCGGAGAGGGGGGGAAATGACTTGTTTGGTTATGCCAGTGCAGGGACGAATAATAGTTCATCCAATATACAGGTTTTTCTTTTCCACATGATGTGAATTTTTCATAGACTCCACACAGGTGTACAGATAATTAGCTCTTGTGGGTCTTCATGGAGAACCGAAACTATCACACTGTTCACAAAGAAAAGCACTGTGTACTGCATTAATAGGTGACCACTTTTAACTTACTTTACAATTCTTACGTACAATGTTCTATCACTTTTAACACTTTGGTTAATAACCTTCAATCGATTATTTGTAAAAGAACTAGAGTAACTTACCTAAGGGTGACATCTCCGGTACTCCTGCCAGGTATGGTCCATCAGGAAACTTGGGCTCATTGTCATTGATGTCCTGGACTTTGACCACAAATTCAGATCTGGGTTCCACAGGCAAATTGGTGAGTCGGTCTACAGCTTGAGCTTGAAGGGTGTAGTAAGCCTGAGCCTCTCGATCAAGCCGCTTTGTGGCATGGATGTCTCCCGTGTTCTCATCAATGGTGAAGATGGAGGTGGCACCCTCACCAGAGAGCACGTACTTCACCTTGCCATCTCCTTTGTCCACATCTGAATGTAGCTGTCGAAAGGAAAAAGAACCGGAGTTTAAATGCAGCCACACCAGACTGTAAACGTTTGAGTGGTGATGCTGGACTGAAGAATGATGTGAGCACTTCTGGTTTAAATGATACATAAAATCTTGCATTAAATAATTATTAAACAAGTGAGGATGATGCTTCATTCTCCATTTTTAGCAAGATAATGCGAGTATTTTATTTCCCTAAAAAAGAAACATTCTTCTTTTAAGCTTTTCTAAAACTCCCTTGTTCTTGTGCCCTTTTACAAATGTCCCATTCCCCTTCCCATAGTTTCAAATGCAAACCACCTCCAGTAAATAGCAGTTAATAGCAGCAGGAGACGCATTTGATCAAAGGGCAGCTAACACAGACAGTGATACAGTATTGCTTCTAATGTTCTCCTCGTTTGATCCTTTAAAGAGTAAAAATAGCCAGAATCACAACACAGCCACCGTCTTTAACCCTTTGTGCGAAGAGATTTTGTCAGATTACATCATGGCTTTAAAATCATCATTGTTCCAGTGCAGACTGACAGCTTGAAAAGTGGCTTGAAAGTTAATTGGTGGTTAACATGTAGTTAATGTGCAGCATGTCAATCACAATTTCATACTCATTACATTGTTTGGCACCAGGAACAGAAAAAGTGGAAATGTAGATAGCAGTTTTTTAATTTCGTTTTTTATTTATTTATTTAAATACAGCTGTGCAGTGAACACAGATAATAGGAGAGAACCAAACAGAGCTTAGGTTGCACTGAGGTTCAAACAGCGACATGAAAGCACAGTAAATCACTCCCAGTTCTTTAATGGTTTTAAATCAGTCTAAACATTCGTCTGTTTGCCTTTGGTCACTGCTTTTATTATCACATAAATCTGGGCTTACTGTCAAAGCTAATGATAACTTTAGCCACACAACATACAAATACTAATGATTTTCCTGTAGATTTGATACGCTGCCTTTAAATCCTAAAACAAATCTACTGGGTTTTCAGTTCCTCGGATGCTGCAAGTGTATGGAAACTCTTGTTTTTGTCCTTGTAGCCAACAACAGAACATATAGCTTGCTTTGCTTGTGGCCGAGACATCGCTAAAGTTAGAGTAAGAGAGGCAGGTTGCTGCTGGTCGTTTGGTATTTAAAAGGCTGAGTCTCTAAGCCACGAGTGAAGACTGGTTCTTGTCCCTTTTGACATCACAGAGCGCTCATTCAGAGACGCACTTTATAATATGTAGAGAAGGGAAATAAATATATACCGTGTACATTTTTAGACATGTCTGGGATTCTTAATTATGTTCAAAGAAAATTAAAAAGCGGAAATCACATAATATGCTCCTCTATTAGACTTTGCAAACAACAAATGCAGCTATAAAATGTCTTTAAAACATTCAGTATTTAATCCGTACAAATATTCACTGTCATGTTGCTACAAATATGTACAAACAGCGCAAGCAAACACATCATGTTTATTGGATAAACATTCAAATCAGATCAAAAGATCAAAACATGCACCATTTATGCATGAATTATGGTACCAAATCCCACCATGATTTGCATTCTGCTGCAAATAATGGAACGAAATGAAACGCTGCCTTTTACTGTAATGACAGTGTGACTTCCTAACTAATGTAATGGTCATTACAAACAAAACTATCAATTTTCCATTAAAACCCCAGCAATAACAAGCTCATCTGACATCAAAAATGTACTACAGTGGTTACAAAATGTGTTCATTTAATGTGTGTTGAATCAATAAAACAACAATGATGCACCAAATGGATTCGTGTTTTTCACACATTTTCTGACCAAAAATCTGTCATTAGGGCTGAGATGAATGGCTCCACTGGAAACATTAATCATCTCATTTTTTTTTTTTGCCAAAGACATATACAAAGCTCTCTAAACGTGGTTCACGAAACTGCACGGGGAATTGTGACGCTCCAATCGAATCCCTTTTTCTGTATGTCAGGTGAAGAGATGCCAGAATTCCAGTGCAAAAACAACAGCGTGTTAAAGTTATATGGAGTGAAATTAGGACTCAGGGTTTCCATTATGCACTTCTTTATATCTTTTTTCCTTTTTGACATAGACGTGACTGTTCTAACTGGAATTGGTGACGAGACATCTGGATGTTCAACCTTAGATCACGTTTGCAGGTTCCTCTTGTTGCCATTTAAAGCATACAAAGTGTGGCTTTAAGTTTATCCACTAGCAAAAAGGATTTGACAGGATTATGTCTTCTGAGGATAAATAGCAAGAGCTGAGGTCATGTACCAAGAGTCGTGCTGTCAGATCCGTCCTGTTTAATGATCATACAAACCATCCGTCTTTAAATCTAGTCGTGCACCAAACATTGAGGACGATACTTTTAAATCAAACCGTTGTTCACCTCACAGCATGTGGGCTAAAAGAAAGTTTGATTGGTGGAGTAGCTAGAATGGGTATTAATAGGACTTGTTGTGACGTTGCATAGACAGAATACTGTACACCTTTACAGAGAAGATAGACAAACTACATGTTTTATCAAGGTACCTTTGTAGTTACCGCGGCAACATTCTGCTTATGACAGCGTTTTAATCTCCGAAGAGCAAGTCGAGACTTTAAAGATGACTTAAAGACCCTTTCTCAAAGTACAACTCCAACAAAATATTCCTTAAACACTTCTGGAGAAAGAAATTCAAATTATCAGGACAAGTAACCAGTCCTGAATAATCCTGTTTGAAGTTAGAGCTGCGTGATGGACATCCACTCCACATCCACACAGCACTGATGTGTGTTTTAGGGGAAGGCAGTAGTTAGTTGGAGTTTAGTAACGGGCAGACTGACCTTTTTTGCTATAAGTATTTAGGACAGTGGATATTTCTGCCTTTACTTCATCATCTTTGACATGACAGAACATCTGATTCTTGATATTCAGTGTTTAAAAGTGTATACGAAAAAGTTGTGGCAGTAATGAACGCACTTCAAGTCTCAACCTAAATCTTGAGAACAATAATATCAGCTACGTCTGGGTTTTGTCTGTCTGTGTTTTTGTTCCAGCTTCCTTTCTCTGCAAAAGACTGGAGACAAACAGCTTCTGAAAAGTATTAGGTACACAATGGCAATGATTGCAAGATAAACTGCTGCTTTAGTCAGCGAGTACTGCACTTATATAAAATCGAAGGACTCAAGCTTTGAAAACACAAGAGCTCTTAATGTAGCTGTCCTGTATCTTTCATTAATGTCTCTGCCCTTTGAAATGCTCACTTCATTTAAACTCCATACCCTAATTTGTAGCATATGATCAGACAACCTTGATGGTATTTCTATAACATCAGATTTACTTTCAGAGCTACAGGATATATCAGAAAAGTGTGTTTCTTGATACTGTAGAGTTGGTTTTCTTGGAAGAAGTAAACTTTGGATTCTTACAGCCAGAGCCAAAGCCGTATTGAAATGACAGAATATCAAAAGTCATGCTCAAAATTGTGACATGAGATGGAACAGCTGTTCACTTGACTTCTTGGCAATATACCACATCATCACGTTTTACTGTGCTGACCTTCTCCTTCTACAGTTAGGTCTAAAAGTATATAGACAGTGAAATTTTGTTTCTGTACACTGGCAGAGTGCTTTTAAATCAAGCAACCAAGATGTGATTGAAGTGCAGACTTGAATGTTTAATTTAAGGGGGTGAAAAAAAAAGTATTTTATTAAGAGTCCACAGCAATTTTCACATCATTCTTTATACTGTCCTCCATTAGAGGCTCAAAATAATATGAAGGAACTAACATAATTTCAAACACAAGGATTGTTTTTGATATTTGGATGAAATCATTTGCAGGCTGTCAACATCACTAAATGCTGGTTTCCTCCTGCCAGGTCTTTACTGCAGCCAACTTCAGCTGTTGCTTACTTGCAGGTCTCTTTTGCTTCAGTTTTATCTTCAGGTACTGAAAAGTACACCATTTGCTGTTAATGAAACCTGGACATAAACATCTCATGTCAGGTAAAACTCTATCAAAGTAAATTTAAAATACTGTTTATATGTGCAAGAAAAGGACTATTCAGCATTGTCTATTTCTATTTCAGTCTTAATCAATTCCTAGAGACATATAGCAGGTTTCAGATTTGCTGTTCCTTTAAGACCTTGTTGTCCAATTGGAAGTAAGACATAGCTTTTGTCCTCGCTTTAAAGATAAAATTGAACTAAATCTTTATTTAAATAGCTTTACAGCTGCTTGTTGCAAATTCAGCAATGCCTCCAAAAAAAGTAGTGAACACCAATATAAATCTCTCACAAAGTGGCCATGCCAACTCCAAAGAGAAACTCCTTGCAGTGACTTTTGGTAGAAATGACCTGATCAACTTCTGCTCCTCCTCAATCTGAGATACATCACGTGAAATCTCCTTGTCAGCATCCTTGTCAGACTGGTCTGTTTCCTCCAGGAGCCTGACCTTAAAGTGATACTGAAAATGCACATTCCCAATGACAGCCAGAAAACAGCTAGAGCACTTTGCGTCCCTGAGGAAATTTTCTCCATGCTTAGCAAAATTCCCCTGCGGTGCTTCTCTACTAGTTTCATAAACTCCACCAGAGAAATGAGTAAGCTTCAAAAATAGTTTCCCGGCATATCTTTCTCTTAGATAACGTGACATGTAGGTTGAGGAATTCTTCCCTTGTATGATCCCCAGCTGAGATCAGCAGCTAACTATCAATGATGAAAAAAAGTCAGGGCAAAGGCCTGGCCTCTACCTTCTAGAG